CCGCCATAAGATTGAAATGAATTTCACCAGCGCTATACCTAAACATTTTATTATCAGAAAAGCGTTTTGCACACGAATTACTTCTATAACAGTTCTCTTGTCGCCGACCTATCTCTAAAAACAAGAAATGGCGAGTGCATCAATTGCCGGTGCGAAGATGTGTATTTTGCACAGTTCCCCGTAAGTTTCATCGCTGACCGCACTGTTTTCCCGGCAAATCTTCCAGCTGAGAGAACTGAGACTAGCCACCAGGGTTGTCTAAAAACATCCCTTCCAGTTCCCAGCTTTCTAGCTTTCCTGGTTCCTGAGTTAGCCACTTACCTGCCAAAAATTTTCACCGGCCATAAGTGAGAACTACGCACAAATAGGGCAGAGCTTGAAATCAGTAGGTTCTACGTGGACGGGGGATATTCCCTTAAAATCCCAGTTTTCTAGCTTTTCAGATTCTCGGATTAATGACTTACTCGCCAAAACTTTGACGGGCTCGTACGTGAAAGCCACGTAGGTAAGAGCGCCCATTTTGGGGATGGAAGCATTTACGTGCATGTAGATAAAATTTCCAAAGTTTCAGCCCTGTAGTTTTTACAGGTTTCGAAATAAAAAGTCGGTACAGACACACACACACACACACACATATACATACAGACAATCCCTCGACAATATGCGTTCTTGCATTGCACAGAGGCAAAAAATGAAAATAAATTAGATGTATATGTTGCCCATTTTTATGGCAGCACTACAGAGACAGTGATATTGAAGTGAGTAGTTCAGAAGTGTTGAAGTGAGAATTTCTGTGCTGAACTACATTATGTTTAAATCAAATTTAAATTGACTGTCGAAGTGGGCAACTTCAATGCGAACAAACAAAGAGTAAAGCCAGGGATGCATATGTTAACAAATGCAGTACTGTCAAAAAACGGTGGAAAAAAAGAAGGATGGCAACAACGTTATCCCATTTTTTTCGTTAAATTTTTATGTCCGAAGGAAACGAGCTGAAAGCATACGCACCGATATATCATTTAACAGCGTGAAACATGAAACGCAAAAGTTACTTCTGTATTCTGGCACTGATTACCGGCCGAACAACATCCAACCAGTCAGCTTCTCCATTGACTGCGCCCAGATCAATTGGTGCTTCACGAAGACCATCCAGTTCGTAAACGTGACCATCTACGGGCACATACGTAATGAAATGATAATTATCTTCCTGGAATGTGAAAAAAAGCACTTTTTGTTGAAAATAGCGATGTTTTTGTTTGGAATCCCTAGCACAGATAAGAAAACTGAAGGTTTGTTTCCAAATGCAAATCACAGATTATGGCTGCTAATGAAAGTAAACTATGATTTGAGACGTGATCGAACGGACTGAAGCATTCTCCCTCATTTTTTACAAATTCATCTTTTGGATGCTCCTAGAATCGCAATATATCGCAATACAGTGGATTCGAGTTCTCGGAAGTACAGCCAAATTTGAAGGATTAAA